TTTTTTTTTTTAATTTAAAGTTTTCAGCAATATACTATTTTTTATTGTATCTTCAGATTCACAAGTGATTATATTCTGAATGGACTGTCAACGTTTTGGGGTCTTTCAATATAGGATATAGATTATGTTCATAAGCTATTCTGGGGTCTTCTATAAACTATTTTCTTCCTACTGCAATCACAATTTCAGGTTAGTCAAGTGGTTTTCTCAAATCTTCGCTTCAGAACGCTATGAAAAGGTCGGAATCTCTGAAAAATCATTTTTCTTCTTCAAAAATAAATAAAGTATTGTGCACATGGAATGAACAGTTGACAGAATTAGAGTTACAGCAACTAATCATGGTCTACTTATTAGCTGGAAAATCAAGAATCTTAACCCTACCTGTATAAAAAAATGTGGACAGTGAAATGTACATAACTTCTTGAATAAACATCAGAGTTTGAAAATGCACCCAACTCACCAAGTCAACATCTGGACCTAGCATTTTTCTGGCTTTCTCTTCATTCCTGACCTGAAATAGACATAATACAGATTGAATTCACGAATACAACAAAGAGATTATTTGATCAAAGTGCAAACTAAATACAACAATTTTATCCACCTTTGGTTTTTTAATAACTTATCCATGCATCTACACGCCAAGTAACAATAACGCGAAATAAGACATAATATTTAAGTATAAGTACCAATACTCGAACTGGGAGTCCTTTCTTTCGTAACAGATCTACTACTCTTCTTCCAACGCCACCAGTTGCTCCAGCCACCAATATGATCCCAGATGTATCCATTGACTTTACTGCTTCACTAGGTGACGAACCAGATAGTTTCTCAATCAGAAATTCAAAGAACTTCAAGTATAAAATGAACCTTGTTAGATCATATATAGCAGAGCATCAGCATTAGACATATCAAGAAAGGATCGAGCAAGGTGAACCTTCGCAGGAGAGGGAGGCCCATTAAAGAAATATAATGTTTTTACAAATCTTCCCAAGTCCCAACCTTGTTTTCCAGCTTCTGAGAGAATGGATCCCCTATATGTTCTCAGGGAATAAGAGGAGCTCTGCTTGTAAACAAATGGCTGGAATTTTTCTTTACGTTGAAGAAATGAAGAAGACAGCACCTGCGTATCTGAAGTTTTCCCAGAATATTTTCGGCCAACAGATGAAATACCCTGCAACAGATAATTAGGATGCTGAGATAAAGGATGGTGTCAGGTGGAAACATAATTCTTATATTACTACAATGTAACTGTTTCCTACCAATTTTCAAGAAACAGCATGATAAAAATGTAGGATAATTTAATTTTCTCCTTTATTGAGTATCCTCTGCAGATGCCCATAATTAATCGCCCTCCATGACGTAAGTAGCCAGTAAATTTTCCAGCTCACAATGGCTCAACGGGCAGGGGTACATTATACAATTTAGTGTGGGGCTCGGAAAGCTACGATACAGTTTGGAAGAAATGCAAAAGCAATCTACTATAGGTAACTGCAAAAATTAGAAGTAGAGAAACCCAATCTCCAATTCGAGGTCCAAATATATCCAAAAGTGAAGACTGGGTGGCATACTGGCATTGAATACGAGAAGTTGCAGGGAGAGGAATGGCAACAGTAATTCAATTTGTGTGTTCCTTCCAATTACAAGCAGGCATATTAGGCTCCACTAAGCCTACAATTACTTGTGAAATTCGATCAGTTTTTTCCATTGAACAGGAAAAAGATAAAAAGAATACAGTACTGCTGTAACTGCACTCTGATATGAAAAAGAAAAACAACAAAATTGACATCATAAACCAAGCAACTATACTCTTATATCGAAACTGCTATTATCATCGTCATAAGTCTAGATAATCACAATCAGATACAAACGAAAATACCTAACAAGCAATCAGTAGAACTGCTACTATCATCATCAAATCCACGTTGTAGTAGGAGAGCACAAAATAATAAGCTGGTTTCTAAATTATAGCTTCACCTGGAAATTTAGAATGGTGGAGGAAGAAGAAGACGGTGGTGGCTTGGTCACACTACAGAAGCAATGAAACTCCATATTTCCACCAAAATATATTCACGAAGCACCGTAACAACAAAGATTAAACTTTTTAACGATGAATTGTGGTTGATGATATAGTTTACTGTGCAGGAGTTAATACACACCACATGTACGATGCAAGTCAATCTTGTAAATGCAAGGAAAGTTCTACGACATATGTCCCGATTTTCAATACGAACATAAACAAATCGCGTGTGTATTTATGAAGTGCTATTGCGCTTTTAACTTGCTCATATCCAGTTAGTAGTCTGGGCCATAGGTCATCTGGGCTGGACCGAAACAAAAGGGTATCAATAATATGGGCGGCCCGGTATTCACAAAAATAGCATCACATTGGGCCAACGTATAGTGTGTAGCAACACTTTCAATTCTTTACTAATCATTTCAAGAATAAGAAACGTGCATTACGTTCACCTTTCTAAAAAATAAAACATAATTCTTTTTCGATTTTTGATTTTATGCTCTTTCGACATGAGTTGAATAAACGAAATTCAATCGGAAAAAATATATTCTCTATTGAGACCGAATATTCTAGCTTATACGTTTGTGAGATGTCCTGATTCAGATCAATAAAATATAAAAATCCATTGATAAAAGGAAAAAAGTTGATTGGATATATATTTGCTATTAGTGAACAAGTTGGGTTTTCCCTTAAATATGGACTTGGATATTCTCCTTTCAACCAATCATGTCAAATAAATGTAGAGTTGAAGGGAATTCTTCGAAGAGCAAATGAATTATGGGAGTGTGTGATTTCCCTGTAGATATAAGTATGCCACAGTGGAATTCACAGCCGATTGTACCTTTATTGTAACCATCTTGTAAACTCTATACAAAAGATAGGCCAGTTCAGAAACTTTATGTGTCTCGTCATGTTGTGTTTCTCGAGTATACACCTTTCTTTTCTATTCCATCAACTACTCATAGTTTGACCAGATCTGATCTTATTCGTATAGATCTTTTTTCTACTGATTCTGATAGTTTGTCATCTCAAGTTCCTAACACTTCAAATACTGATCATTCTGCATGTATTGACACTTTGCTCTCCGGCACACCTGAAGCTCCCTCTTCTCCTATGGTCCCTCAAGCTCCATTTGAGACTGTGGATCCACCTCTACGTCAATCCATACACATTCGTAAGTCTACAAAGTTACCAGATTTTGCTTATTCTTGTTATTCTTCATCTTTTACTTCCTTTTTAACTTCTATTCATTGTCTCTTTGAGCCATCTTCCTGTAAAGAGGCAATTCTTGATCCTCTTTGGCAGCAAGCTATGGATGAGAAACTTTCTGCTTTGCATCAGATTGGTACTTGGGATTTGGTTCATCTACCTCCTAGTAAGAGTGTTGTTGGTTGTCGTTGGGTGTATAAGATCAAGACTAATTCTGATGGATCAATTGAGCTATACAAAGCTAGGTTGGTTGCAAAAGGGTACTCTCAACAGTATGGTATGGATTATGAGGAGACATTTGCTCCTGTTGCAAAAATGACTACTATTCGTACTCTTATTGCAATAGCT